CGAGAGAGCTGCTCAACACCGCTGGGTTTCCTGCTCTGCTGCCCTCGGCCCAGCCCCTCGCTCTGCCCCCTCCTCCCCAGCCCCGCAGCTGATCCGCATCAGCCCCCCATGAGGTGCGGGCAGCCCAGGCCCAGCTGGTCCCTCTGCTGCATTCACACCTGCTGCTCGGAGCTGGGCCGCAAGCTTCGAGCTCTGCAGGCAGCACCTGCTCACAGCACCTCAGCCAGCACAGGGTGCAGAGCTGTTGCTGCCCTTGGGGCTCAGCCTCCATCAAACCGGCCCTAACCCTGCTCTGCTTCTCCTCTTACTGCACTTATAAGGGCCTTTCTCACCCAGCCCACCCTCTCACTGGGTGAGGGACAGAGCTCTCTGCAACTCCCAAGGCATCTAAAAGGGGCCTGAAATGATACTAAATCAATCTGCTGTCCTTGTTTGTGGTTTATACAAGGTCACCCCAGTCAGGTTCCATGGGTTAGATTCTGCCTCTGCTGACAGGGAACCAGATGGCATCTCCTTACCTTTTCCTGGGAGACCTGGTAGTTTCCAAGAACCTTTCCCAGGGTACAGGGCTGCATCACCAACACCACTTTGTTCTGTTTATTCAGACACGTGAATTAAACCAATGTACCATTTTGAGAGCAAGCTGGAACTAATTCTGAATTTTAACAGCATAAAAAGCAGCTCCTGCTTTCCTTCCCTACAGAGCACTGCCAAGTAACTGTTTGCAAAGCAGTTCATTCCTCTTCTCCTCATCCTTTGTGGCCAGATGGATGCCAGTGTCACCACGGCTGGCTGCAGATCAACCATTGGGGTGAGCTCACCTGCTGCTTCTTCAAGACTCTTCTCACTCTTCTTTGAAGCTCAGCTTGTTCTTCACCTTCTGGGCCATGTAAGCAGCTGTGAGGACAGAGCAGGTGACAGTGAGGAGGCACAAGGCAGAGAAGTTGTGTGCCAGGTCACCCTGAAGAGTGGAGTAGATCTGTCTCCTGGACTCATAGTCCAACACCACGGCCTCGATCTGCGCCAGCGTGCAGAGTACCAGGCAGACGTGGAAAATCTGATGGCTCTGTCCAAAAAAGTGACATTTCCCAGGGAACCACTTCTCAGGATAAGGATGCGAGAAGAAAAAGGCACCGATGAGGAAAAACAACACCTGGCATTTGTGATAGAGAAGGGCGGGGTCAGGCTGTGCGGTGAAGATGCGATGGATCACGGGGCTGATGTCCAGCACGTAGGCCAGGCCGGAGGGCAGCTCCTGGCACAGCCTGCCCAGGAGGTGGGCAGACTGGTGGTACTGGTACTTGGCATAGCAGGAACCAGCACAGGACAGCCAAGCCAACAGGACAGCTAAGGGCATGTAGAACCCCTTGATCTTCTCGTGCCAGCTCGGCTCGATGGCGTAGTAGTAGTGCCCCAGGGCACTGCCGTACTGGTAGATGGCAACCCCCACGTAGTCCATGAAGAAGAAACTGTAGTGCCAGAACTCAGATTTGGCCTGCAGAAGGTGAGCAAGAGTGCTGAAGGTCAAGTAAGTGATGGAAGCCACGTTGATGATGAGGAGAGGCTGGGCGTGCAGGTCTTGCCCAAAATCCACCCGCTGCGAGAGCTGCTGGAAGCGCAGCAGCAGGATGAGCGCGGCCACCAGGTGCGTCCACACGTTGATGGCCTCGTTGTGCTGCTGGAAGAGGGTGGAGAAGTAGTAACGCCAGGTCTGCTGAACAGGCCGGTAGCCAGTGTCGATGTAAGGCTTCCAGAAGATCCTGGGCACCTCTGAACTGCTGACAGTGGAAGGAGAGGGGGGAACCAGCAGCTGAGGGACCTGCCGCACGTTAATGAAGAGGCGGCTGAGCTTCTCGGTCACCACTGTTGCCATGATGCAGCTGAACTCCAGGTCCCTGCCGTGTGAAACAACCTTTTTTTGGGGGGAAAGAAAGTTTTGTTGTGGGGTTTACAAAAACAAACAAACAAACAAAAAAATCAAGCAGGGGCTGTTTGAACACTCTGGGGCTTTTTTCCAGGGATACGTAAAATCCTGCGTGACTGGAGGAAGGGCTCGTGGCTGAAATAAAAGAATCTCCAAAAATAGTCATAGGGAGGAGGCTGAAGGGAGATTTAAGAACCTCTGGAGTGCCCCATGCTGCATAGAGACAGACTGTCTGGAGGAGTACAGAGGTAGAGAAGATGACTGTAGGGTCAACTGCCACAATAATTAGCATGTCGGGACACCTAGCTCAGCCCTTCCCAGAAGTCTGGGAACTGCTAAACAAATGAATCATCCTAACAAATTAAACATCCTAAACAAACCTCCTGCTCCAGGAGCAGCCCAGATTCCCCCTGTTTGCAGGCTCTGTCTTTACAAACAACCAGCTGTGCTCCCCCAAGCAGCGAGCTGACCTGCTCTGCCTTTGAGAACATAAACAACTGTAACTCCAGGAACAGAAGATGTAACTTCTGCATTTTGAGGTTTTTACTGCCTTTTTTATTAGCTCCTGACTTTCTGTGTGGCTTTGCACAAAACCAGCACAGCTCAAGGGAGTTCATCCTGTTGCATCAGTGAGGTCCAGCAGCGTAATCTTTGTGAACAAGCATTTCCATATTTACATTTTTGAAACTGCTGTCCCCACCGAGATAAAGGCAGCCTTGCTGCCTCGTGCTGACTTTTCCTGGCAGCCTTAAAAACATACTGAACCAAACATGTTTGAAATGCAGCTCTTCCTCAGACAAGTTCTGCAGACAACAGCCCAGCTCCCATCCAGCTCCAGCGCTGATTTACACCTCAAGTCCTGGCAAGTGCAGCCGTTTCAGGCAGAACATTCTTCAAAGTTTGGGAAGAGGAGGAGGAGGGGAGGGGGTGTTTATTTTTAAAATCTCTGTAATTTTCCTCATCAAAATGGAGTAGGTATCATAGAGAAATTTAAAAAAAATCAGCCTGCCTGAAGCTGAGGAGCCCAGATGCAGATAAAACCAAGCTGTTTGCTGCTCAGTGTCCCTCAGTGCTCTTGTCCCACCTCACCAGGTTGAAGAGGCCCCACATCAACAACAGGCAGCCTGGCTGGGGGCAGCACCTCACAGAAGGAGATCCCGACCCCTTGCCTGGCCTCCTAAACCTTCCTGTAACACCACAGGGGCTGCCAGCAAAAAAATTAACTTCACCAACCTCCTCCAGACCCGCAGCCACCGCGCAGAACTGCAACAGCCCCGCGTGCAGCCGCGGGGGGGGGATGTGGGCAAAAGCAGAACTTTCCAGGTGAAGCGATTTGGGGCAAAATTCCACGAGCAGCTTAGAAGAAAACGCTGTCCTTGTGCTGCCCAGATCACTCACCTCTGTGCTGCTGCAGCCCAGGGGACACGGGGAGTGGGCTCAGCCCTGTCTGACCCGGTCACGGAGATAAATTCCAAAGGGATAAGCAGCCCTGGTCCCACGCGGGGGAGACGCTGTGGCAAAAGCAGTAGGAAAAGCTGCGCTCAGAGGAAGCAGGGAAGTGTTTACTCCGGGTCTTCCCAAACTTGCTGGAGCAGGACTGGATTTGCAAAGCTCTGCCGTGCTCGGGCAGGGGCAGAGCACACCCTGCCCGGGGCTGGAAATCATTCATCTGTACCTAAGAACCCCCACATACCCACACGATGTCAGGAACGTCGCCGCGGCCGCCTTATTATTTCCTGCGGAGCATTTCCCTTCTCCAGCAGCATCCACCCATCCTGGATGTTTTCGTAATGATCCAGCCCCGGCCGGGGACGTGCCCGGGCGCTCCCGGGACGCCTGTGCCTTCTAAAGCACAATCACGCTGATTTTAATTAGTGGTGGGTTTCCTCCCAGCACAGGCGAGCTGACCCGCGGCACACGCAGGCTGAGAGCAGTTTTGGTGGGTGGGCTCTGTGCTCCCCCCCC